TTCTTCTTCTTCTTCTTCTTCTTCTATGACTAGGTATAGTGTCATCTGAACTCTGAAAATCCACTGACGCCTCGTATTGGGTCTACCTACTTAGAAGAGCGAGAGATATTGCAGCTTAAAGCTCAAGCTCATTAACTTATTAATCTGTATGTTAGAGATGAAGAAAAGAATGAACGTAAACGAGGGGACGGGGAAACAGTTTTAAAAAGAATCGATATGAAGAGGATACAGTGCTTTCCGGGGAAGAGGGCCCTGGAATCAAACATCTCCGCAAATATGCAGCCCACGGACCATACATCAATTGATCTGGTATATCCCTTGGAATTCAACATAATCTCCGGCGCCCGATACCACCGAGTGGCAACGTACTCCGTAAGGATGCCGTTGTGGTCGTGGTCTGGATCATTCATACGTGCAAGTCCAAAATCACATATCTGCAGATTTAAAAAAAAGAATAAAACATTACGATTACGATTTAAGAGAATCAGGCATCAATTGTACAATAAATGACGGAGGGCTGGATGAATGCGGGAAGTCCTGGGTGTAAAGGTGACCATCTCACCCTTCCTATTGCGAGTGATGCGGTTGGTGATAAAGGCAGAACGGGAAACCCGCATCAATATTTGTCATTTGGCAAACAAGCAAACATTGCGTCAGATTAGTGCGGTTCTATGGACAGTAAAACTGTTCCGAAAACGTCTAGAACGGGCATAAACTAGTTACTACTCACAAAATACAACAAAGGCGATCTGATTATAGGTATCAATCATCCATACCAAACATGAATTCTGCGCAAAAAAGATGTTATCGCCTATTCTGCACAACGGTGCGTGGCTGTACGTCCAATGCGCACGAAACCCGGTCTCCGATGCTTTTTGGTTTATTTTACCCCCCCTTTTCGTAAAACTTCCCGAAGTCGTCAGGAAGACCTTAGTATTTCGCTGCGCAAAATAATGAGTGCCAACTAAGTAAGTGCAAGATGGGGACAAATTGTAGAATTTTCTCCCCGGCCTTAGGGTATAAGGAAAGACGGACATTGGCATTCATGTGCGAGATATCATGGTAGAGCACTTTTACAGAGAAAGCGTATCAGATCTTGAAATTATCTTGAAATGTCGTGGCGGAAGCCTG